TCTCCCGTGCACGAGAAACATGAAGTCTTTGCCTACTTGTGTCTTGCTTTGCAGTGTAATTATATTGTCTTCAACGTTCCAGCGGATGGGTTCAAGCTACAAACCTATCAGTTAGCCCGCGACTTTGTTCCAGTTTTGAATTTTGGCCCACTGCGTATTTGAGTTTGACACCCCTGCACTAACCTTTTTAGGATTCCTCCAGTGGAATTCTGTGATCATTACCTTGTCCACAATGTTGAACCAGAGCAGGAGCATTCATCCAGGCCATAACCTTCTCAGTCTACTAATACTGGAAGATCGTCCCGCAATAGCTGGCATGCATAATTCATATTATGGAGTAGGCCAGCTGGTAGTCAGTGACATGGGCAGGTGGAAGTAGCCTAGAAGATGGGACTTGATGGATTAAACTGGATCGGTTTCAACTGGGAGGCATGGGAAACATTATCAATCCTCATAATTCAACGTTTCACATTTCAAGGCAATTTAGGTGAGCAGAGTTGATTGTGGATTTAATTCGAAACGCACTAATGTAGTTGAAAGAAAGTTTCTTTGTCTCAGAATTTAATGGGACATTTTTAGCTAATAACCAGACCTTCTGATACGGATGATATGCGAGTGCTGAAATCTGATAGTGTTTGTAATGTTCCTTTGTTCTCAGGAATGTGGCTTGGGTGGACTTGCATACACACTGAAAATGGTTTCAAGTTTTATTGTCATGTACAGATAAACAGTGTAGCCCATAATGAAATTCTTTGGCTTGTGCTCCTCTGCTTTACATGAGCATATAGAAAGTGTTAAATTAAGACATTTAAAATGTGTGTTTCCTTGCAGCCATTGTGGCATTATGCTGGTGCGGACAGCCCGGCTGTTCCCCTTCATCATCTCCCATCACCTGCATCCCTCTCGCACACATTCAGCCGGACAGGGATTTCGGTGGAGTGCAGCTGCTGCTAGCAGGGGAGTGAGAGTCATGGAAACTGAAGTTCCTACCTCTAACCCTCCCACTGCATCTGCTGAATCTTCAGCAGATGGCACGGGCCAGTCCGCCACTAGCTCTACAGGTGACCAGGCGAAGATGCCTTCTGTGGGACTGTTACCAGGAGAGACAGTGGTTAAAGAGGGAAAGGCAGCCATCTTGTTCCCCAGTGCCAATGAGGTGTTTTATAACCCAGTGCAGGAGTTCAACAGAGATTTAACGTGAGTATGAACTTCGCCTTTATTGCCACTTGCAAAGTATCCACAACTGTCTCCATGTTAAAAGAAAAACTGATTTCAGGTGGAACAGTAACAGTCAAAAAGTGTGATTTAGATAAAATAAGGTGTCTAAATCCAGGTTTTTCCAGGCTCATTGAGATGTGATATAAGCATGTTTTGACTATGTCATTGACACTTTATGAAACATAGTGTGTATATTAAAGAGAGACAAGGCCCTACTTGTTGGGTCTATATGTCAGAGAGTTGGACAAGCTAAACTCTGTAGGTATGTAATTAAGACTGATTTTTGTAGCTCTGATTAAATCTAATAATAATAATAATAAT